GAAACAGAATCTATGGCCTTTGGCTAGTTAAATTTGTGATGGATCCAATATTTGCAAAGGGATGAACTTGGAGTTCAGTGCTGGTATTACTGTTACATGACAAATTATGCTGTAGTTTTTCTTTATGTAAATGGACTCTGGCTGCTCGTTGCTAGCAAAACTTGAATGCCTCTCTATCTCTTCCTTTTCATTTAGCTGATGTTTTTCCTGCCTTATTTTGCTGAAAGTGTGATTCTTCTTTATTGTTTGCAGCAGAAGTCTGAAGTTGGGAAGAAGCGGAAGCAGTCAGCAGAAATGGAGGAAGAAGAAGCTGATGATGAACCGTCAAATACCAGAGATGAATCGGGGGATGACAATGATGATGAGGAAGCTCATGTAGTAGGAAGTGATGAAGAAGAGAGTGGTTCAGAGAAAGGCGAAGAGGAAGAAGTGGAAGAAGAGGAAGAGGAACCAAAGAAGTCTAATGGGAAGATTTCTTTAAAGGAGGATTCTGGAAGAAAAGCTAAAGAGAAACCCAAGGCCGTGAAAAAGGATAACCCTGCTAAAGAAGTAGGAAGTGACAATGACGATGAGGAGGCTCATGAAGTAGGAAGTGATCAAGAAGAGAGTGGTTCAGAGGAAGAGGAAGAGGAAGAGGAAGAGGAAGAGAAACCAAAGATAGAGAAATCTAATGGGATGATTTCCTCAAAGAAGGATTCAAGAAAAAAAGCTACGGAGAAATCCAAGGCTGAGAAAAAGGATACCCCTGCTAAATCTCCCAAAAGCTCAAAAATTTCTTCCAAAGTGTCTTCAAGTAAAGCTTCCAAAAGAGGTGCTTCCAGTGCTGATTCACTAGCTGAATCTAAGAAACAAAAAGTAGAAAAGAAAAGTCAAAAAGAAGAAAATGATTCAAACAAGAAACAATCAACCAAGTCTCCTGCTAAGGTTTCTGAAAAGGAGGGTGAGTAACTTTCTATTTATTTGTTGGTGATATATATGTGGTTTTATTCCTCTTTTATTGAGAAAAAAATCATTATTTTTGGTCTTCATTTTTGAGATATTGGTTTGAGGAATGGTGTTTCATCATACAATATGCAGTGGCCCTTCAGTATCTTCACTCAACTACCTGTGATATGCCATTCTATTGAACTTCTTTTAATATGTCGGTGATCATTCTATAATGTTTAGGATTCAGGGATAAATGTACAAGTTAATTATCACAGAACAATTCTGAACAGGAAAAGGAACAATTCTGAGTAGGAAAATGTACATGTTTTTGACTGTTGTTTCAAAATCTTCTGGAATAGGAAAAGGAAAAAGCGCCAAGAAGGCCAAAACAGACCCCAGCAACGAAGAAATTCATGCAGCAGCAGTAAATATTCTGAAAGAAGTGGACTTTAACTCTGTAAGTGATATCTTGCCATTGCATTTAATACATACACGAACTGTTCTTACTAATCAGACTTGCTCTCTTCAAAATGCAGGCAACCTTATCTGATATCATCCGGAAACTAGGTATGTCTTAGGAAACACTCGTTGCTTGTTATTAATGGTTGTGCTCTTTTATTTGGTGATCACGTAGCTGGGGTTCATTTCAGGTAGCCATTTCGGTGTAGATTTGATGCATAAAAAAGCAGAGGTGAAGGCTATAATCACTGATGTAATAAATAACATGAGTGATGAGGAAGAAGGGGATGACCCTGAGGCTGGGGATGATGAAGAAAAAAATGATAGTGATGCTTAATTTATGAGTCAAATAGAAGGATATATGGTACCATACAGTTTGTTAGTAGTTTTAATTTATAATTTTAGTTGGTTATAAGATTTGTTATCCCAATGGGTTGGTCTGTAAGCATTTGTTTGTTTTTGCTTATTCTTTAGCATTTCTTTTAAAGCAAATCCTGTTCCTTCTGTTATTGAAATAGTTGTCAATTTATTCTGTTTATATTTATTTATATCTATTTGTCTATATTTAGACTTGTATCTATCTATATCTATCTATATTATTATAAAAGTATGAATATAATATTGGATCACAAAAATAACCTTATAATATTAAGTGTCATAACTCACAATAAAAGGATATAATTGGAATAGACATTAGCTTTATAATCTTATTAGTTTTAGGACATATATTACATGATAGGAATCTTACATGATTACCTTTGGGAATTCTATTAGTATAATTATTTTCGGGCATAAATATATAATACATGTTAGCATGTAAATCTAATACATTTAGAAACACGTTGGGTGCTTAAAAATTTCTATTTCTAATTTAATTTGAAAACGTATTATAATATCCTATTCCTAATTTAATTTGAGAATGTATTATATTGTTCAAATTCATTTAGAAAAAGGAGAGCCTATATATATTATTATAAAAGTACGAATACATATATTGATAGACTAAAATAGTACTAAAATATTAATTAGAAGAACTAATAGGGAATGGACATAAATATAATAACCTATTTTTTGGACTGCAATACCTTGTATGTTAATTTTTTTAATATTTGAGATTTTAACATTATACAAATTTATCTATTAAATTCTTATTAAAAATATGTACGAAAGTTTAATAAAATAAATTTCATAAGAATCCTCTGTATTAGCAATAGGTTACCATTCCATAATGTCCAATACCAAGAAAAAATAAAGTAATGTTAAATGGAATGCATAAAACATTAGAATTGATAAAATAAAATATCCCCACGATAATATATTTTCATATTTAGACAAAAAAGTGTTCGTTAAGATACCATCACATTAAATACTTTTAAACTATAATATATAATTATCTAACTAACATGACAAAATTGATCATTTGTGTAAGTTTTGATGATGTCATTTTATTTTAAATTCATGTATTATGCTAATATAATAATATTTTTCGGCATTTAGATAATTGTTGTATTATTATACATAAAATTTCTCTCATTAATTAAATTTTATTGTTCCTTCATATCAATAAATGTTTAAATCATCACATGTCATTATTAACGTGCAACGCATTTTCATAGATACTAGTACTATATTAAAAAAGAGAACCCCAAAAGTTCAAAGTTAAATTAATTAAATGTCCCTCCTATTAACCCAAGTATTTTATTTAATAACCCATAGGAAAAGAAGGCAACGCTTCATATGCCTATCCTGTTTATATGAAAAAAAGACCTAACGCCTAGGAAAAGAAGATAACGCTTCATATATGCCTTAAAAACAAATACCTAACGCTTGGCAAAAGAAGCCAATGCTTCGTAAGTCTGGTTTGCAAAAAACACTTTGTGTCTAACATGGATGATCTGTGAAGGAGAAGGAGAAAAAACATTAAAGATGTTTGCAACGGTGGCGGATTTTACTGATTAAATAAGCAAAAATCTGAGCCTCATACGGCCATCCTCTCAATCTAACTTTTGTTCCTCTTCTGAGGTTGTAACTCTAACAAGCTTTGTGGGAATAATTCTGAACCGAAGGTATTGATTTAGTCTTACATTGGTTTGCTTCTCCAAACATTTATTTTTGAATATTAGGTAGCGAACAGGGAATGGAGATGATAGCAAGACTTCCACAACCACAACCAGCAATACATTTTCTAACACTCTATAATGAAGTGCAATACCGCTTCTCTGATATCGGTGTGCCTAAATAAATTTTCTTCTAATCAGAATTCTGGTACTGCTACTGCTAATGCAGTAATGCTAACGTCTATTTTTTAGTTTTTGGTTGTTGTTGTTGATAATTGTGTTCATTTTCTAATTTTTGGTTGACTGAATAACTGGCTTCTAAATTCTTAACTCTGCATGTTTGTTGAATGGTGAGATATGGTTTACTATGCATTTTTTTAATATCAATCTCCAAACATGTAAAACTTGCCTCTTATGACTAGGATAGTGATTAAGAGAAGGAAGTTGTGATAGATTTTTTTATTAAAACTAAATAAGTGGTTAACTAATAGTCTAAAATCTCAATAAGGAGAGTGGTTAGATTAAAAAAAAAATATCTAACAACTGAATGAATATAATGTAACCTTAATTTATATCAGTTTGAGTCCTTAGAGAAGAAAAATGTGAATAGTACAGTTAGATAGAATATCATATTTAGGCTTAACTAATGAGAAAGTATTAGTTTTTGTTCGTTTAAAATTTAGAGAAGGATTTTTTTTAATGAAGGCATGAAGGTAAAACTTCTAAAGAGTAGGGAGTATTATATTGAGGTATTTTAGGTAATGTAGCAAATTGAGTTTTTCTATCAAGAATATAGAACAAAGCGTTAGATTACTAATTGATCCAATGATAAATACAATTGATAAATTGAAGTGAAGTGACAAGGATTCTGATTTCTGCAGACTCCAATCATTTAAGTGTGACTTGGGTAGAGCAAAAACGAAAAGGTAAATAATGGTCTAACATTTTGAAATTTCATTGTTAGTTTGAGTGCCCGTATTAATTACTAAAGAACTTGGTTCTTTACCGTGTTCTTTAAACGTGAAGTAAAATAAGCAGTAAAGTAAACACAACGATTTTTACGTGAAAAATCACCCAGCTCAAAATGTGCAAAAATCACGACCTACTACATAGGATTTTCAACTTCAACTCCACTAGAACAATGAGCCAAAATGTATCAATTACAAGACTGTAATTCAATACTCTCCAGTACTCCTACTACAACTATTTGATTTACAAGTTACTCTAACTTGTAAAGCAAACACTCACTTCACTCACTAATTATTTGTGACACTTTGATTACAATTAATTTTTCAAAATACATTCACTAGACTGACTCAAGAAGAACACAACACTGGTACTCGACTAGAATGTACAAAATGTAGTTCTTCAGTTGATCTATAAAAAGATGATATCAGAAGTCCAAAATAGATAATATTTAAACGTTTGGACTTCAAGATCTTCTAGGAGTCCTATGCAGAGTCAACTTCTCGTTTGATAGGGCTCCTACTGTTCCAAGGACTCCACAAGTTTTGGGACTCTTGTCTCTTATTGATTTATTCGTATCTTCTTGGGCAACAACTCTTATCACATGTAGCAGCCTTCTTCCACCAAACTCGGACCTGGGTAACTTTGAGATAAAGTTACTGTCTTGCACAGACGTTCAATCATCAACCTGAGGAGCTAGTCCTTTACCCTGAGGAGCTGGTTCTTAGAACAGTTAAGCAGCTACGTTGAGGACCTGGTTCTTTGAACATTGCATCTAAACAAACTTTTTTAATCATCAAAATCTCAATACTCAACAAATTTCCCCTTTTTGATGATGACAAACTTTGTACACACTAGAACCAGGTAATCACAACAAGTCGCAATCAATCAACATGCACATTACACCATAGACAAATATATTCACAACAATACCCCAACCTTATCTTCCCTCTTTTGGCATCATCGAAAAAAAAAGTTGTTAGATATATTAAGCACATTTAATTTAAGATTCAAGGCCATACAGGCTACATCACAAGCTCAAAAATTATCAAAGCAAATACTCTAGGCTGATGATCCAATACTGTACAAAGAATTAAAATAGAATAAGAGAAGTCATTTAGTAGTGCCAAAATAAGCCCAGGGCCTCGTCTTAAACCATTAGAACAAAATACACCAAACATAATGCAACCTACTCAGACTAGAACAGAAAGAGAAAAAAGATTAAAGCATCACTGGGATAGAAAAAGAGACTAAGGACACTGGGAAGGAACATGTTCATGATGAGAAGTAGATGTGGTCAATGCTTTCACAAGAGTGGCTAATCTATTGGGCATGAGCTTCCCTATCTCTTCTGAGATCTTCCCTAAGCTTCCTGGTTTCTTTTCTCAGCTCATTATTGTCTTCTCGAAGCTTGGCATTCTTCTCAACAACCAACTCCAACCTCTTACTGAGCTCTGCTGCCCTGCTGCTTCCAGGTAGAATAGCGAATCCTGTTGGTCCTCTAGCCTTGATCTCCCCATAACCACATTGCTTGAGGGTAACAACATCAAAAATATCATTGTGATTTCCATACTTAAACTCAGGCAAGGCAATATTGAGTTTGTCAAACAGCTCAGTCAACATGAAGCTATAAGGCATAGCATGCTTAGGCTTGAAAGTGTCTGCAGCTCTTGCCATATGCTGAATCATCAGGCTAGGGAGATTGATAGGTCTATCAGTTTCAAGCAGTTCCATTATATCCATGTCTAATAGAGTAGCCTCATGCTTTCTCTCAAACCTCTGCAGAATGCAGGAATTGACAAAGTGAAACAACAGCTGGTGGAAGGGGGTCATATCAGTCTTGTACACCTTCTGGGGAGAATCCAGTTCAAACTTTTGGGAGAACTTTCTTGTGACCACAATTCCTGTGTCAACATCATTGTCTATGGCTGACCACTTTTTCTTCAAGTAATTATCAAATCCTAAAGAGGAAATATTCAGAAGCATTCTCAGCTCCTCAGCATCAAATTCCATTTCAAATCCCCTTACCTTACTTTGGACCACTTTTCATCAAATTGGAAATTTACATAGAACTCCACCACAACAGGAAGTTAGCTCCTCTTGCATGGATATAATCCAATCTGGATCCTTTAGAGCTTCCTTGGTGGTCTTAGGTTCAACTTGTGAGAGAAATGCTGTGAGTGCACATAGATTTCTCAAAGATGACCTGGTTTGCACTCCTGCATTTGGATCAGAGATGATGTTCTCAAGATGATGTTCTCAATAGGATGCGAACTTTGACGTTTCCATGTCCTGATCTACATACCCAAAGATGATTCACCCAAGGAGTGACCCAAATAAACTGGTTCAGTAGGTATGGCTTCATCAGTCTGGTTAGCAGTCAAAGTAGTTCTCTCTTCTTCTTGTTCCTCATGATCACTGTCAATTTCCTTGTGGTCTCCGGATCCATCTTCAGATTGAGGTTCAGAT